TTTCTTGAATTAGTATGGGAAACCACGTTCTGGCCGACCAGTAGGGCGACCAAAGTGAGTTGTAGGCTCTGTGTTTGTCTGATTTTCTGTAATACTTGAGGTATTATTGCTGGCGGCGGAAACGCTGCACGCATTGAGGCCTTCCCATGATAGACTTAGAGTCCGTTGCCCAAGCTTGGGGTCTGGGACTGGTGACACGAATGTCGGTAGCTGATTGTTGAATCGCTGGCGTGAATAGGTCTATTAGCGGCGCTCCTAATTGCTTGATTATCTGTGCAAAAATTTCCGGTTGATCATCCACTCTGTCGGTGATGGTAGATGAGGCCGAGAGAGAGCCTGCTAGTATATTTCTGGCTCGGGAATGTGCACTGCTTTGACATGTAGATTTAGATCTTGTATTAAATCGAACAGTTGAAAGCTTAGGTTCAAAAGGTTCATCGATCTCGTTGAGCCTTGCTTGTTTATGTAGAACGCCACTGTCGAATTGTCTGTATGGATCATTAGGCGCGCATTTTGTAGAAATGTGCTCCAATGTAGAATGGCGTTGATTACAGCTTTCATTTCTAGACTGTTTATATGGAGTTTGCATTCTTGCTGATTCCATAACCCTGATATCGTGGTTGGTGAGATGAGCTCCCAACCTTGGAGCACGCAGACGTCTACATACAGATGGGTTTTGTATTCCTGCTCTGCTAAACAAATCCCTTCGCAGACATTCGATTTCTTGGTCCACCATAGTAGATGTGGTCTGAGATGTTTCGGTAGACTGAATGGTTGTACATCGTTGAGATGTGCGTTGATGAGGACCTGTAGGGGACGTAACTGTAATCTGCCTGTGACAGTCATGTCTTGGGCTGATGTGAGAAGACCTAGTAGGCTCTGCCATTGTCGCAGTGGTAACGAGAGAGTAGAGCTGGTGGAATGGTCTGTTGTATCTTGAGCCAACGGTCTTCTGGTACCATAATACGGTTGCGATTTGTGATGAATCGAATACCTAGGAACTGTAGGTCTTGCGATGGTACTAGGTCCGACTTGCGTAAGTTTACTAACCAACCTAGTTGTGTTAGTAGCTTTATGATGTAATTTAACTGTAGTTTGAGACGCAGTGGATCTTGATCTACTTGTATCCCGTCGTCGAGGTAAAACGCACTGCGTAGCCCTTGACGATGTAGAAATTTGATAATCGGTTTCGTTATCCTCGTGAATAGCCAGGGGGCTGATGATATTCCGAATGGGAGTACTTTCCACTGGTAATGTAGCCCTTCTAGAGTAAATCGTAGGTATTTCCTGGAATCGGGATGAATGGGGATGTGCAAGTAGGCATCCTGTAGATCTATGCTGCCCATGTAGTCCATAGGGACGAATCATCTGGCGTAACTGAGGTAAATGTATCATGCGAAACTTCGTGGTTTGCGTAGATAGTTCTTGTTGAAAAAGCTCATGTTGTAGATGAGTCTGTATTTCTCCGTGGAGTTTTTCTTGGGAACTAGGAAAACTGGGAGTAGAAACCTGGTTCGACGTTTGCTTGATCTATTACTTCTATGGCCTGTTTGGATAGGAGTGATGAGACAGCCCTCTTTATCTTTGGTAGTTGTTGCGCTTGTAAATCGAACTTGGGGGTTTGATTGTCAGCGGAGGCTTGTCCTGTAGAGGGATACGAAAATCCGTGTTGAATAATGTTGGAGGCGTAAGGATCTTGCAGTATTCCCCAGTTTTCCCAGTGTAGTTGGAGGCGTCCACCCGCTTGAGCTGGTTGTACTGGAACGGCTGGGGTGGAAGACTCCAGTGGTTCGAACCTGTGTTTCAGCGTCTATAATTTGCTGGGGAACCTCTGGGTGTCCTGCCTCTTCCTGATCCTCCTCTATAGTTGCCATATGGGCGTGACTTTAAAGAATCTTTACCTCTAGAGCTGGCTATCTTCCTGTCTCTTGCTCTTTGTAGGCCCGTGAACTTAGATCTGCCTGAGTATCTTTGTGAAGTCTGACGAATGACGCTGGCTAGTGTGTCCATCGATCTAATCATAAGGACTTCCCTGGAATCCTTAGAGACTTCCTTGGCGACCTTGTCGATTTCTCCGTCAAAGATGGATGTTGTCGACCACGGGGCTGTATAAAGTGGGGCTGTAAAGTTCTCCCCCCAATTACAGGAGGCGAGGAGGCCTTGACGACGAGCTAAGGTCAGTGCTGCTGAAACAGATGTAAGATGATCCGTTAAAAACTGCTGATCTTTCTTTTGCATAAGTAAGGCAGAATAAATCATTCTATCATCTTCCGTCGTGGAATCCCGGAATCTAGTAATAAGAGTCTCATTGATCGTCCTAGATCTATTTAACCCAAAGAACATACGTCTCGTCATGGTTTCTATATGAGCCAACTGCGATCATCCATCTTGTAAATCTTGTTCTTTACATATCGCTGATGATCTTATAGTTCTCATCGATGTCCTGGGCCTTGTAGAAGGAGTCCATGTTATCGTGGAGAACTTCTTGGCTTGAAAGTTGGGTAGATGTGGTATCTGAACTTTCGTAGCTTTCTGGAAAGCTGCATCTAGATTCTGTGGCACTGCGCTGTCGGGTCGATCGGGGGTAGAGTGATTGCATCTGGATCATCTTCCTTCATCAAATACGTCTGAGCTGTATTGCCACTTTTAGATGGTGATGTGAGATCTAGGTTATTGACCATCAATGCACCGTATCTCTGCATCAGAAAATATGATTCCTCCATCATCCTCAAAACCATCATCATTAATAAATTGTAGATGCTCGGGGACTGCGTGTAGCTATCTGAATATCTGATGAGGTTTGTGGCGATCTAGTTGACTTGTGCGCGCTCTATGTGGAGATCTGATGGGTGATCGACCTGGTGATGAAGCGAGTGGAAGATCGTCTATGGGATGATCTTCTCGGAGACTTGTGAGGTGAATGTTGATAGCTAAGCTCTTCGGCAGTCCCTCGATGTTCTTCTAGGCGATGAAGATCTGGAATCATATGTCTTTCGCGAATGCCTTAGCGAAGCTTCATTACGTCCGGTCGGGGATCGATGATATGACCCAGCGAAGGCTTCCGTGATGTCTGATGGTCTGAGTCCATATCTAGAGATGAAATCGAAGATGGTGATGATCTCTCCTCCGCCAGCGAAGGCCTTGGCGAAAGCTGTATCTAGGTCCTTCGTCAAGGTGGTGCGGGACTTCCTCAGCGAAGGTGACATCGTCTTGGCTGCTACGTTGACGGGGTGCCTCTGGGTGCTGCTGTCACGTTGGAGCCTTCGAAGGCTTCGGACCCTGCTGCGCAGTTTGTAGTGGTCCTCCATGATGTTCATAATCTGCCGCATCATGTCTTCTGGGATGATCTGTAGTCGAAGTCGTCGGCGTCTTTTCTGCGATGGGGTTCACATCAATGGCGTCTGGCGTCGGTGTAGAGGCATCAGGCTGCATGGAGGATCTCTGCAGAAGTCACAATCGCTGACACGGTCGCTTCTTCTGCCGAAAGTGGGGATGATTATCGGCTGATCATCGTAGAGGCCCAACTCTGCTGCTGGAGCGATCTCGGCTGAGAAAGTTCTTGCTGTCTTCGTGGAATTTCCCTTTGGAAGTCTGCGCTGCCCTGGTGTCCTCAATCTGCGTTGAGGCGATGATGAGGCCCTCTTAGACTTAGTCTGCAATGGACGGGATGTCTGGGGAGGCGGTCGTTTCTTCGAGTAGCGGACTGCGTCCACGTTCCTCTGCGCGCAGGGTCTCTAGCAGAACACCAGAGGCGAGAGAGGTCGATCGCTAGCAGCTGACTGGAAGGAATATCTGGACTCTCTGCCATGTTTTGCCCTTGTTTGCGTGATCTATCTGCAGCAGCGTCTTAAGGCATAAAGATGATATTTATTAAATGCAGAATGAGATAAATTAATGCAGTAACTGCAGCGTGAAATTAAGCATCACGTGGTAGAACAACTAGGGCATATTACATGTGGATCGGAGGCAGAAAAAGCGTAATCTACAAATCGTACAGATTTTCATGAAGGCGTAAAGCTAGCTGAACAATCACGAATACACGTGAATAAACAGTAGAAATACGATAATTAATCAATACAAATAGTAAAGGATACTAGCTATACCTCTATAGTAACCTATGAGAGGTAAAAACTAAGAGATTATCAAAGGATATGTGTGTAAGGAGACACAAGGAGCTCTCACATCCTGCTCACTGGGCGAAGAAGGAGAGAGTGAAGCACATGGCCAGAGGGTGGCGACACCTTTTCCCGCCAGGGGAGACAAAGGGGAGCAACTCGTGGTGAGTACCAATTAGTGATTTTATTTTGAAGGGAGCTTCAAATAAGGAGATACAAGTGTTCCACTATGTGCGCAAGAAGAAGAAGACAAGCAAAAGAGCATGAGTCAGGATAAGGAAAAATGTGCAATATTTTGTACTTGGGTTTACTTCCCTTGAAACGAAGCACCCGGGATACCGAACCGAGTCAGAGCAGGTGGGTGTGCACTCAAGTGTAATGAAGCCTTTCATTGGCTGGTTCATTTGCCGATGTCCTCACGGCTCATTGTGTGTGTGTATATAGAGATGTTGGGTTTTGTAAATACATGCTCATTTTTCTTGCATAACATTTTGCAATCAACAGATATCATAACATGTCATGTGTACAAGTATCACACCTGCCTGTCTGTGTAATTATATAATGTGACAGAGACCGAACTCTGGTGCACGAGCAATAAATCAATGCGTTTTGTTTATGGTGTATAGCCTGATAGGTTTTAAGTTCAAATTGCATGTGGTCAGTGATCGAAGTTGTGTCATTAGCAGACAGGCAGGCAGACACATAGGTGTCAATAAAACAGACATTGAGTTTTGTCTGTGACAAAGACATATCTATATCACAGTTAGAAATTCTGTCAATGCTAAATAATGACATTGCTTTTAAGTATCTTAAGCTTTTGCATCTGACCTTTAATAATGCACAAGGGAGATGATGCACATTCACAGATCAAACAAATGTACTTACCTTTCATTTTTTGCTTGTGAAACTATCCGTGACTTCTCTAGTAAGTATTTTTCAACAATAGCTCTGCAAAGACAGGGAAAATTACCATGTAATACTTTATCATTGGATGGCTCCTAATCATATTTGAATAAACAGAAACATTTAGATAATCAAAAAATGACCAAATACAATAAATAATGTTCAGGCTAGTACACACTCTCCAATTATATAGTTAAGGCATTGACTACTGGAAATAATTTCATGCCAAGCTGAGAGAAATGTTGTCATGTTTCAGACCAGAGATTACAAAGATTCATTCGTTGAGAGACAAACTATCTTTTGTCATTTTTATGGGGTTTTTTTGTTTTGTTTTTGACAAAATGGGTTTCAAATTCCAAACACAAGTAACTACATCCTTTCCACCATTAAAAAATAACACAGCCAGTTTTGTATTGAATGGGAAATATTGTTTGTAAAACATTTCAGATCTGTTTGCAGAACAACTGCTATTATTATATAAATAGAGACATGGTACAAGCTTGGAAAACAAAACACAATACAACTGCAGTATACTGTAATGTCCCATGGGCCATGTGTATGTTGTGAGATTCTCTCAATTACTTCTCAAGACAACAAACAAGAACATTATCTGGAATTTGTCAGCTAACACAAGAATTTTATTGCTGATATCACGCCAGTATCTGACTTACTGCAAGTTTACGACTGCTGAATATGGAGCACCAAATTGCACTGGCTGGTACATTCCATGATGAACCTTTAGCGATTCTGAGGCAGAAGGGGTCCCACAACTCCCATGGTTTTCACCCCTACCCCTGTGATTATGTGGCAGATCAGTTTACAAGAACCTCAATATTGCTCCCTATTGAGAATTCAAACACATCGCCCTCCCTACCGACATTACTACACATGATACTTCCCCGGTACATCATGCCTGTCTTACTGCATATGTAAATGAGAATTGGTTATGTAGAAAATCTGTGACTTGACGATTACATGGAATCGTAGCCTAATTGTATCAATCACTGGCTCATACTCCATGGCATGAACATTGCTGAGTGCGACCTGTGAACATCCGGGTTAGAATTGGTCCTCAGCAACCCATGCTTGTCGTAACAGGTGGCAAACAGTCCAGACTCGATTGTTTACAGACCACCACCATATAGCTTGAATATTGCTGAGTGCGGCGTAAAACTAAACTCACTCACTCACTCCTTGCTGAGTGCACCACACAACGTGACTCCCTGCCAGCAGTGCTCTCTCCACCTCCCACTACTACAACCACAACTCAAGGCACATTGCACCATGCATCCCAGTAGTGAGTCAGTCACTCTAAGGCTTGGTGACAGGAAGCCAAAGGCTGGCTGTGTGTCCACCTCGGTAACTATCACATCTACAAATCCTGTTATCGACACCGTCAAAACTTCACAAATATTTCCTCCTTTCTTTGAGGCAGATGCAGCACAAGCTATACAAGATAGTGATCAATGTCTTACAGCAATTGAAAGTTGTGCTTAGCTGCTGAAGGGAGATATTCAATATGAATGAATGAATATCATCTTTTCTTGTCATTATTCTGTTTCATATATCTATCTATATTGGAGCGGTCTTCATATAAGTTCTTTTGAGCTTGTTGACCAATCCAGTTCATGAAAATTTTGTCTTTGCTTTTTCATGAAATAAATATGTTTAAACCATATGAATGTTCCATGAATACAATACTTTAAGGGAAACATGCAATTATAAAATTTAAAAATTACAACTCCCCAAATGATTCTTCTTCATGAGAACAACTCAGAAACTAGAACCAAATCATTACTGATTGAACAAAGAAAATTGTGAATAAAGTGTACATGAAGTATAACGCAGAATAAAAATATTGAACATATTTACTGACAGGACTTCCTAATACGAATATAACTTTTTGAAAAATAAAATAATCATTTTACTCTTAACACTTCAAAATGTAATAATAAAATCCTTTCTCTGAAATAACTGCTTTGCTGCTGCTTCTTACAGCTTTCTGCCATTATGAATTCTCCATCCAACTCAATAGAGTCAATTCAAACTAGGTGTTATTCGTTTCTCTACAAAATCATAACACATGCCTTCATATCTGTCTTTTTCAAATCAAATCAATCAATCAAATTAGATATTTGTATAGCGCTACATATCCAGAGTTTGCTCATGTGCGCTTAGTCGAATGCCCCTTTGAAGAGGATGGTTTTGAGACAAGATCGGAAACTGTTGATATTTTCCAATTTTCTGACATTTTCAGGTAATCCATTCCAGGTAATCCATTCCTTTTTAACATAGCTATGTTGACAAGGTCATGGGTAAATATTTCACCTAACTCAATCTACCCACCAATATCAAACAAAAGCAGGGGACCCAAACACATCCTCCCTGTTACATCTCTCCCCATGCCATGCTTTCACTAATCTAATAATCTGATGCATTGCCAGAACCTGCATGGTGTAATCTCATTACTGGAGATTACAGGATGAATGGGCCAGGGTGATGGCGATGGAGGTTCTCCATAGGCAGCTCTCATACCTGGCTCTCATATTAGTCTGGCTACACTAGCCTGGTTGGGATGAGGCTACAGCAAGCCATACATGATCTTCATCAAAGATCACATCTTGGATAGTAGAGCTGACTGCTCCTCCATCTTGGGAGTCTGCTGACCTCTTAGGCTTTATGTAACTAGGGTCTAAGATTCAAGACAGCAGGGATATTTTAGGTTTGTGTTAATGTGCGGGAGAGTTTGATTTAACACCACCTTGAACAGTATTTCAACTTCATGTTGGAGGAATGTCAAATGTGTTGCAGGCCTTAGACGCTAACCACTCTGGACACACACTATTAGGAGCATAGTGCTCACACATAAAAACAGAATCAGGCCAACTGTGGGATTCAAACCCATCATTTAACCCAGGAATGATAAGCATACACCAGCTGCCCAACACACATCAGACCAAGGACTTGAACCCAATACTATGAGTCTGACACAGCTAAATCCTCAGACCACTGAGCCACATAAGCTTAAAATATCAACAGGTTGTATCAACAGGAGTTTTTTTAGCCTATATTTCATAAACACTCACCCATGGACCATTCCATTTTCCTTGTAGTTGACTTGAATGAACTTCCCAAATCTACTTGAATTGTTGTTGTGGACTGTTTTCGCATTTCCAAATGCCTGAAACATCAAACAAAATATATAATTCAATGCCGTCTCCTCAATTTGTCTGTTTTCGTGACAAGCCAAGACCATATGACTAATGCCCTGTAATGACACAGGGGACTTTGCATCCCTACTTACCGCTATGCGTACATATCAAACAGTTATTCAAAGGCTTATTGATGAAACTATTTTCCATACAACTCTGAATATAACGAAGCAATGACAGCGCAAATATTTATTGACCATATGTGATTCATCTCACAGTTCACTGACATTAAAGCAAATAACAAAACGCTTGATCACAACATACAAACATCAAGAGTAGAGAATAATAACTCATATGCAACTGATCGACTACACCAGATCACACCCAAATAACGTTAAGACTCTGTTCCTGGCTAAACAGTCAAATTGTTATGATGCTAAAAATATCCTCATAGAACACTAAAACAGACAATAGCACAATCTTGCATTTCTGGTATGCATTCATTGAAGTCTGAAATGATCCTCGCCATCTTTGATGATACAAGTCCAACCAAGTCACCAAGCATGACAACCCGATCCATTAAGTCACTCCGTATTACCAGCAGAGGATGTTGTGGAACAATTTGAACATGGTATCCCCACAAAGTTTTCTGTTATTAGTGTTAATGATTACAACAGCTTAGTTCAGATTTAGCTGGAGCTTTGGGGAGCAGGGTCTCAAGTCATTCCTCTCACAGACATAAATGTGTAATGACAACTAGTTCCTTCAAGAGCTGTGATGATCTTTAAGAACTGCTATACCAAGTGTAGATGCTTATTTTCTGAATATATACAATTTTGATAGTAACAAATAGACACATCTAAATTGAAAAGGAACCCCAGTGAGTTGGGAGATTCAGGCTGAACCTGGGGAAATCTAGACTTGCTTCATTTAGGGGTTTAGCATTGCAGGGAGGGCTAGGCAGTAGGGAAAATAATGTGGTTCAGTGACTGTAAGACAGATTGTACCAAGTGTAGCTTATGAAACATTAATACATCAATGAATGATGTTTTCTTCAGGGGTAGTATAGCCCATGATAAATGTATGAGTTGCTGAATGGTTAATCATTTAAATATATTGTCCATTACCAATTGTGGTGGGTCTTCACATACACTGTCTATAAGTTTCCTTATTCACAAAAACTCAATTTGCAGAATGCTAATATTTTTCAAAGCATGATATTCATATTCTATCAACATTTCCACATTTCCTTATGAAAACAGTTTCAGGAAACACTGTATCAATGCAACCATATTTGGACATCAAAAGTGCTCAGGCTTTGTAGCCAACTGTTTGCGGAGACCACCTGTTAAGCCACGCTTTAACCTGTGTTCTTGTGAGTCAAACTAGCATGGTCTTTCCACTACATTACAAATCATGCTTAAAAACGTAGGTCTACTGAAGGAACTGGAGTTGTCCATCAAGCAGTCAAATCGTTCTCTGTCACCACAATCCGTCCGTTACCACAGGTGGTCGGTCCCCTGTTTGAGTACTTGTCCAGTACAGTTGGATGTCCAACATCCACTAACGCAAAACCCACCTGACAACATTACAGGAGACGTATTGTAGCGACCTTACACTGAATCCCTATAGGGTTGTTGTATTTCAACCTGTCCAATCACACATGTAACATATGCTGATATCATGTAACAAATTATAACAGATTACTTCATCTTTCAAATACTGTAACCATGACAACTGGAAAATGCATTAAACATGTATCGAGCTGCAGTGTTTCAAATGAACGGACTTCCTGGGCCCAGTATCATAGAAGCAATCTTTAAGTGACACCTTGACTTTCCTGCATAAACTAAAACATTCCTACATGTGTGATGATCAACCTTAGGAGATATATGAGTGAGTTTACTTTTATGCCATGTTTAGCAATATTCCAGCAATATCACGGCAGGGGACACCAGAAATGGGCTTCACACATTGTACCAATGTGGGGAATCGAACCTGGGTCTTCGACATGATGAGCGAAGGCCTTAACCACTGGGCTACCCCACCGCCCCTATGAGATATATAAAATAAAGATAAGTGTACATGTAACTAGGACTAAACCCCTTTATCTTTTACCAGTAATGTTTCTATTTTATGTGTAATTCTATGTTATTGTCCATTGGTACTGCTCCTCGATCTCCTCACAAAGAGAATAGACAGCTACTTGTGCCTATGGTTCTGTAACTGCAGCAAGTTAAAAACCACATGTCATAATACCTGTTAACATAAGGAAATTTGCTTTCATTTTAATTTTCTTTTCTGGTGCACACTGGCACTGCTCCTTGAACAGGTCTTCGCTGGAAACCACAAGAGGAGAAAATAGCATGGGAACAATCCCTGCAGAACAGATCAATCTTTGAGAGATGGGAGAACTCAACAACTGAGACAGAAGTACTGGCTTCAAAGACAACTTTCTATTGGGAAGAAGCAGAAACCATAAAGACAGAGTTCCCCTAAGATGGGCGTCTCATCAAATTATCACTCCGCCTCCGCTCCTCATTTCCAGATTCTATGGCCACCAGCACAGGAGAAACTAAAGATTCCATGACGCAAATTGTATGTTTAGTTGGAGAAACAATGTGCCCACAGCAAGGATCAACTGATTGCAAGGTTGACTGTACTCTCACCGGGTCAAAGGCAGGTCATTCTACAGAACAGATGCCTTATATCATTTAAAACACAAAATATCATGAAACAAACACTTCACATACAGCCAAGTGAGCATTATTCAGGGGCCTCTTCTTGCCATCTTAATTCAAAAGTTTAAGTCACATGGTGAAAGCTGTAAAATTAATATTCCAAATGAGTGTGTTCAATGACTAAAATGGTTGAAATAATAAACATAAATATATTGATTACTTCCAAAATATATCATAAGTCAAATCCAACTAGTCCTTAGTTCACTTCAGACTTGAAATTTATGCAATATATCTAGCTTTGGGGGGAAACTACCTTCTTCGTGCAGATTTTCTTGAGTCTCTGAGTAATACACTTGTGGACTTGTCTAGCCATTCACTGGCCTAATGAGTGAGTATGGTTTTACGCCGCTTTTAACAATATTCCAGAAATGGGCTTCACACATTGTACCCATGAGGATAATTGAACCCAGCACGATGAGTGGACACCTTCACCATTGGGCTACACCACCGCCCCATGACCTAATGAAGATCCAGGCTACAGACATCCTTCCCAGACACAAACCCTTCCCTAACCAGGTACAAGGTCCTTCCCTTTGGTGGTGACACAGGCCACGACTTGCACAGCCAGGGAGCTGACACATAAATCACTGGTCACAGCTCACTGACCTTCCCTCCCATCACCTAAATACCTAACCATTAAATCACTGGTCACGCTTGAATTATAATGTAGAGCTGGATGCCTCCACTGTGTGGACAATTACTCACAGATTAGCTTACAGTGAATGTTTTCACCTGGTCACACCTCCGTCATCAAGGTATATATTACTTCTGCCTTTTCAGGATAGGACTTCCTTGTTGATCTACAATTGGCAATATTTACAGAGAGCTTGACCTGCCAGTACAGTTGCAGAGATAAGTCCATGAAATGCACCAGCTTCCAGTCAATTCTGTATCTGTATGTCCTTCCGTGCTAAACAAAACTAAACAGATCACTCACTAAACTTTCCATGAGGAAAACAGAGAATTTGGAATAACCTGATTACACCATCAGTACAGTGCTGAACTGAATATTCACCTAGTGAAGTGTAAACAGAGTATGAGTAAATGATACAGAACATGCTAATGGCACAGTTCATATGGCCCAAAATAGAAATGTTTCACAGTAAAACTCTCATATCAGGATCCTTGTGTCGAAGGGAAATTTATTCTGAAATTGTGAACCAATCTCATGGGTTATGGCTAGTGGTGGTCTGATTAATTGAAATAATCGAAGATTGGTCGCAGTAACTAAACGACCAAGCAAACGATCATGTTTTCTCATAATCAAACACCAACAATTCTGGAACACTTGTTTTCATCAACAATATTTTTCACAAGGTTGTTTTTGTCTGTTACATTTCATAAGCACTACAAGCTCGTTCCAAGTCATGGTTGAATTTATCTTTAAGACACCAAGAAATTTATGTTCCTAACATACGAGCCATCCTTTAAAGATGTGAAATTTTGCACAAAAAAACAAAAATAAGTACATGTTTTCCTTATTTTTTTGTGCATTAACAAATTTCATAAATGACGCTAACCAATTATTTTCGATGATCAGTAGTAATGAACTAATCAGCAATTATGAGATTGTAACCAATTCCCAACACTTGTGGCAACCACCATCACATATCAACATTAGGTTGGTGGTAGGGTGTTGGTGGGAGAGGTAATCATATATCAACAGTCTTCCTCAAGGTTATTTTTGATTTTCAATTCATATACTCCTTTCATTAGGCTATTACATTTCCATATGTTCTGGCATTCTTGTTTTCGAGTTCATCACAACAAATATAATATATGAACATTCCTAAATGGTTTGTTAACATAAGCATGTACTGTGTCTGGTACCAGGTTCAAGGACTTTAAGTCATAAAATTACTGACAAGACTATGGTATGTATGGCAAACAGTGGGAGGTCGACAGTCTGGGGATAAGAACATTATGTAGAAGAATACCAGGAGATCATGTTTCCACATGTACCAAATGGCATCAACAACATTTGCCAAATTGTTTAAGCAGAACAGTTTCAGAAGATTACTTCTACCAGCTCAGTCTACATTTGTGACACATACATAATGCAGTTCTTGCCTCCAGTCGCATGCCGGAAGCCCGAGTCCCGTAAAACACTGTTTTGTCTTTTAAGCTCAGCTTGTCAGAAGTAGATCATATCCAACTAGTCCACAACTAATTTTGAACTAGTGGTTATGACAAAGACCAATCATGTCATTTGGGAATATAACAAAGGGTCCAGATTGTTACTTATCTCAGACTAATTATGACCATGTCTATCCATGCTAGTAATTGCC